TTTTTATCTCATATTTTTTACTTTCTAGCTTAGTTGTTATGTAATTATGTATTATAATTATATAATTTTCACAAAACATGAAAATTAGTTTATTATCAAGGCAACGTTTTCATTTTATTTTTAATCTACTGGCGGAAAGGGGCTTCCATACCAAACAGTTATAACTTCCCAATTTTTCTTTAATTATTATTAGTATAGTCAGTTTCTGCTGGACATTGCTAACGTTAGCTAGCTGTAACTTAGGATCCAGACGTCCGATGAACTAACAATTCCTTCATCCAGTCAAACTCTAAAAGAGTTAAAAAGCCACGCAAGATCTAAACAGGTGGATGGTAAAAATGTGCTGTCAATTCGTATGACGAACGTTTGACACAGGCACAAAGGGGATATGACGCCATTGACAGGCGACCGGTGAAACATTGTTGGAAACATTTGGGATAATGGAAGAACACAACTACATATTTGTCTAACATATTATAGTTTTAAGCTCCATGCAGGTTTTTGGCTCACCTGCCTTGTTAAACTGCCGCTGAGCTCTTCCAGCTCCAAATCAGCGCTCGGGGTCGAGGACGCTGGAGTGACTCCAGTCAGCGAGGAGGAGGCGCAGCAGGAATTCATTTACTCAAAAATGCCAGCTCTGTTGAAGCTGTGATACACGAGGCAAGAGTTTGAAAGGTTGTCAGCGGTTTCCCCTCGCCGCCCTGTTAAACTTTAAAGGCGCTAAAAGGAAACACGCCTTTTGTGTTTGCTCTGACCTACTGCAGTGAAAATAAAAGCTCTGCAGCAAGTGGAAACAACAGAGAGCCAGATCGGACATTTTCCCCGAGTTGGCTGCAGATAAACACCTGCAGCAGGTGAGTCACGCTTAAGGAACTTTAAAAGATCCCATGAGAACGAGGAATGTCTTTTCCAGGTATGTTACTGTGCGTCTGCAGTTGGACTGCTGTAAACTCGGTTCCTGCACATTCCAGACCACATTTCACAACTGAGTACAAATAGCTAACGTAGATGTTTATTATATAAATACATTAACATAATATGTTTGTTATTATGGTGCCAAGATAAAGGAGATTTATTTAAATCATTTCAAAACGACAAAAGACATCATTTACCTGAGAACCAGGTATTACCAGCGTTTTCTTCCTCAGGTGATGTTGATATATTTGTAGAAATAAAAATGTACCTGAAATGTTATAATAATATAATGATGCCACGTGCAGCTGCTGTCAGACTGCACTGGAAACACAGAGAGTCCGCTGGAGCTTTTACAGTCACTAGAAGCACAGTCACGCTGTTTCTGTGTGCTAACTGTTTGTAGCTGAGCTAGCGGCTCAGAGAGCTCCCCAGTATGTGTGATTAACTATTAACGTAAGTTAACAATGTTTTATAGAAATGTCTGACGTAACGTAGTCCCGAACTGTCCACTCTGTGTAGAGGGCATTCGTGAACTGCAGATGTTGATAACTTTGGTAATATTGTGAATATTACAGCAGCACTGATGTGTGTCAGTACAGTCATATGATTCAGTTTACAGCTTTCAGGGTGGACGACCTCTTTAAATTCTGTTGCTACTGTGGTAAAACCTCGATGTACGTATGTCGTGTGTTTGTATTTAGTCACTGAAGTTTGCAATAATTGAATGAGATACGCAGCAGATGGTAATGAGCAGGGAGCGGGTTGTGAACTCAAAGCGCCACGTCCTTGAATGACATCAGGACGCCTTCATGACAGGACGGAGTCTCCCAAAAACCCAAAACCAGAGCGGAGCAGCAGATACCAGACCAAAGACAGCCCAAACCACACACACACACACACACACACTCATTCTCAAAATAAATGTAGTTTAGTTCAATGTCTCCTCACAACAGCACACACACACTAACCTCACTCCATTACCTCATCAATGCAAATCGACTCCTGCTCACGAGACGCCACACACACACACACACACACACACATACACTCACTGTTTGTTGGGGTTTCCTGTGGCTGTGAGTTACTGGAAGATATTTCGGTGGAAAACAGAAGTTTCTGAGGGTTTTTAAAAATACGACTGACTTCACGTTAGATTTTCAATAGTCTCCCTTTGTGATGGTAAACATGTTCTTTATTATTTTCCGTCACATATATTTAAAATGCTGTACATGTGGACCGTTATCAGTAAATATGGAAGCCAATTTCCACCAATGTGACAATAAAAAAGAGGATTGTGTAAGTCATTATAATTAGAAACTTTCTCACTATAATGACTTATTAAATTTAATATTCTGACTTAGTATCTCAGAATAATGAATTTATGGTACTTAATTTCTCATTACAATGATGTACAAAACCTTTTTTTCCAGTCACATTGGTGGAAACGGGCTCCCATAAGTAAAGATGGGTTGTGAATGCGTCTGTTTACCTGTGTATGCAGCGTGCGGACAGGTGAGGCCGCCTGCTTTTATTTCCAGACAACAAGTCGAACCAAATGCTGTGGATTACATGTTGGGAAACCTCACTGGACACCTGCAAGACAAAGACCTTCATCTAGTATTTTTCAACCAGGGACCGTCAGAAGGAGTATTTCAGAAAGGGGGGCGTTGAGGTGCTCTTTCAACTACAAAAAACCTGTTTACACCACTGCGACTGCACGTGACGGTGTATCGTTTCCATAGCGTTTGTTTAATTGGTTTCTTGTTTACTTTGATTAGTAATCACTGTTCTCTCAGAGGTCCACTCCCTGGTTGAGGATGGTGCTCTCATGAACATGACTGCACCAGTTGTGGGCAGTGTGGACTGTACCAAGGGAGACTTTGGGGAGGGGGAGGAAGTTACAGGTTTTCTTTTTCTATTATTTTTCTATCCGTAAAATGAACTGCATCCTGAATATAGATGTTGCTTGTATAATAATGTAGTTTGTATTCCTGGAGTCTTGTAACAAAAATATTTCCCCCTGGCGATTATTAACAGGATTTCTGATTCTGATTCTGATATGAGTTATTGTATATGTTTTTACTTACTAATGTTCTGTATAGCTTTAATTGTCGGTTTCATTTAGTTTTTGCCATTGGCAAAGGTATATTCAGGTGATATACACTAATAAAGAGATAATTCTGAATATTATATCATATTTCTGACGATAGATCCTGTAAATGTTTCACACTGGAGCGTGAAGATTGAACGCGGGACACTCAAAGGCGGGATAACCACAAATGTAAAGCAACAAAATGCTTTACATTTGTAAATCAAGTTGTTCTTTCAGATACATTTATGAACATTTATTATAGAAAATGTATAAAACAACTTCCTGTCAGTACGTCCGACACTCTGCATGTGTGCGCATTATAAATAGAAGCTCTTAATAACAGGAGGACAGTAAAATTACTTGCAGCTGCCGCCGCCCCGCCTCCGCAGAGACACATCAAAAGATCAACCACTCACTGCTCTTCTATCTCTGTGAGGTTCCAGTTTCAGACCGGCACCGCAAAGACCGCCAGCTCTTCCAGAGGCTGTGCGACCTGCATGTAGGTGAGGGTGAGGGGACAGGCGTGTAACTGTTGTGATTAAGTTGTAGTTGGAGAATACACTATGTAAATACAGGTCCGCACTAGTAAAACTGTGTGTGAGTGGATGAAAGGCTGCAGCAGACCACAGCGGGGTGTTTCCCTGCCGGCGGGGCAGCCTCTGTGGTTGACTGCCGTCTGATGCTGCTCTGTTTCAGGAGTGTTTTAAGGGGAGACGACACCGTCAGTCAGTGATGTCACAGACTGAGAATAAATCTGCATTATCCTAGAGTGGCTGTGTCATGAGCCAGCTTATCAGACAAACAAACAAATTTTGCGGAAATCACATGATTATTGCCATCTCACTTCGTGTTTCCAGTAGGCGGAGCTATGACTATGACTTTATATTCCACCAAATCTCTGATAGGAGTGCCGCTTTAAACACACCTACATGCAACTATTCAGTCATACTCATAGCGCCCCTACTGGAAACAGGAAGCCTTTTTTATGCCGCTTGTGATCTGATTCACATCAAATATATTAATGGTTTAGAAATCTTTTGAATCACTTGGTTTCTTGTTTTTATTAAAATGTTTGTGTTTTCTTTCTTTCGTTCTTATAAAATCTAAATGTCTTCCAAACTTCAGATTTTAGATTTGATGCTGCACTGTATCTTCAGCGTAACGTTGTAACGCCAGCGTTGTTGGCGAGCCTACGCTGCGCTAACGTTACTCTCTTTTGTAAGATTGTCCAAATGTCTCGTCAGAGCTTTTATTCCCTTAAAGTGGAATTAAATTAGAGGAAGCTTCTTCAGTTTTCCATTCTTACCATTCTCTTCTCTTCTGGTCTGACAAAACACAGCACGGCGAACATAAAAGATCTAAATGAGCGAATGAGCTTGCCCTCTTTGACTTTACATAAAGTCGGAGACTCTTTGAATCCTTAAGAGCCTCATTTGATCCTGCAGTCGGCAGAAAGAAGGATCAGATTAGGCTCCGCTAAAAAAAGCACTCTGGGTAATTTAACACGGAAGTTTTTCTTGACAAATTACAGACACGGGCGATTTGCATGGGAATAAAATCACTGAGGGCAATTATCATAAATGACTGTGTTTCCCTGTGTGATAGCAGCTCCAGTGAGAGTTAGCTTACCGAACAGAGGGTGTGACAGCAGACTCATTTCCCCTCTGACAGTCCGACATGGGAAACAACTAACAGACCCGACTGTCATACCAGAGTTTCTCAAGGTGAGCATGTAGTCATAGAGTTAGATAGATGATAGA